TAGCAGCAACACCAATCACTAGCCCAAAGACGGCAATCAAAAGAAAACACCATAGAAAGTAAATTACATTTCGTAAAATTAAATGATTTTACATTTTATTTAGCAGTAAAGCGTTGAGTTCTGTATGAAGAGGTTACAGCCGCTCATCGTATCGTAAGTATACAGTGTGATACTTTATAAAGTGCACACCAAAATGAGAAAAGAGGAAATTCGTTTTTTTAACTAATGATTATGATACTCTCATTTTAATACATTCAAAGCAGTGTAGTGTGTACCTTTTACAATTAATTACCTATATGTTTATATTATTTTATTTTATGTCTTATGAAACATGAATTATTTTAGTATTACGGCTATGATACAAAACTCCATACCAAATTCTTAATCAGTTAGGAAAATATAATGGCCTATTTAATACCTAATTAGTTATAATTATAAAAATTAAAGGAAACATTACATTTAACTAGAAACATGTTTCGAAAAAAGGCGTTAATTATAGTTTTTTATAAATATAATCCTAAATTTTTTAATAAACGAACTTTTTAATGACAAATACATGTGTTTCTATCTTTAAAAAACTTAAGCTGAGATTTCCTTCCGATATGTGCACTTTATAAAGACTCACACTGTATGTTATATGTCATCCTCCTAATGTGAGATCCGTGTACATTTTGTTACCGGCGTTACCGCGGTTATCTCTACTCGGACATCTGTATAGGTGGCAACACTAACATTATTGAATCAGTAATTTATAGCGGGGCCGGGAACGAATTAAGAAATTTTCGGTATAAAACTAAGATCTTCAGTTTGTTCGTATGTTTTTTGTTTTGTTTTAAGATGTGAATGAGTTTAGGGTACTTTTTATTCGATTCTTATTATGGAGAGATCGATTTTGTTTTTTTTTTCGAGTTTGTATTTATAAACATTTTTAGTTGACTGTAAGTACTTGTGTTGGTGCACATTTGGTACTGATTAGATGTTTTTTTGTGTATTGCGTTGATATCTAAAGCAGTTCTTTTAAAAAACTGTACTCATCTCGGTACTTAATTTTATTATCAACAGGGTTCTATCTATAGTATCGAATTAGGATTATTGCAGATTAAACAACAATTAGGTACCCAATCTTTATAGATCTGTCTGTCAATAGTGTCACACGACAAGCTTAGTTTAATATGAGTCTGAGTATTGATTGCAGTCGGTTCAATGCCTGGGAAAATATTTAGTTTGAAGCCCTTGTTACCTATAATATACAGTGGTTACTTCAGTATGATTTTTGTGCATCTGTTTAAGTGGTGTTCTTATTTTTAATGGTATCCACTTACTTGATTTAAGTTTCATAGTTTCTGGTTTTGATCTGTCGGTTACAGGTATAAAGTTAAGTTAAACTTTAAAATAATATTATTCAGATCTTAACAGTATGACGTCAATAGTAGACTATATAAAGAATAATTTTAACTACTGCAGCTTACACGTGCCGTCCTCTCGTTCACAAATTCAGTCACCTAGTAAAGAAAGCGAGCGTAAACTGTTTATATTGAAACAAAAAAAATACGGGCCATATTTACTTAGAGTAACATAAATATACAGGCCTTATATGCGTATAACTCACAAAACTGGCAGTAATCGTGCATAATTAAACAATATAGCTATAAAATAAGATAAAAAAATATACATTTAAACATAGAATACTTTATTTCATACAGTTTCATTCATAAAGTTTGCATTGTTTTATTGTTAACAGAAAAAAAAGAAACGTGGATATTTTTTTAACCGCAACGCGGTCACTCACTTTATATGTTTTTTTTTCTATTTTTTTTACATGAAAACAATTTTATATCGTTAATTTATGCCAACATATAAAAATACATTCGTGGATACATTAAAAGCAATGTGCTCATAAAATTTTTGTTTAGCCCGTAGGGTGCCATGTTTAATAGTGAAGCGATAATGCTTTTGTCGATGAAATTTTATTAGGGCTGGGTAAACTCTACGATGAAATTAAGTTATAAACTCTAATATTCTTGGAGTAGGTACTTGTTATATTCGTAAATACTAGATAATTATATACTTTTCTAACATTCATAATTTGAATGCTAAACCAATCGTGGTTCTGGCCTTTGTATATTAGAATTAATGACAGACATTTTTACAAGGAAGTAATTCCTCGTTTTACATGTTATTAATTTCACATAAACTGGTACAGCTGTAGCAAAATCAACGTTCATATCGCACAGAGGAAACAAGTCTGACACGTGTAATTGCTACTGTCGAACAATTTCAGAACATATACATATTTTTTCCAAATTGTTATTTAATAACTTTCGTATCCCTCAAAAATACACAGTCCAATCACGAGGTAAAAACTTAACTGAAATATCCACATTAAAATTAACGTTAATTGTAACTACGGTCCTCACTATCTCATAAACATTTAAATATTTCATCGTGATATCAATGCACGTTTGATATCTATCGTTTCGATATAACTTCAAAGTTTTAGTACTAATAACATAAGACTTGGTCTGTCGTATGATATACAGTCCCCGGTAGCACCCCCCGCAGCTATGTTATGCGATACGACACATAACGCCGACGAATTTAATAATTTTACATTTTTAATCTCGTCGACGACTCGAAAAATATTTAAGCATAAGATTCCTATCTTATAGACTTTCTCGATGTAGACCCTTTAAGATTTTAAGGTCAGTTATGTGATGCTATAATTATTTTCACTTAAATTTTGTTTGTTTTTACCGATTTTTTCGCTTGAACTGTACCTTCGGAATGTGCTAAAATGTTCTTAAAGACGCGGTAATCTGATCCAAATGGTTTAATTAAATTTTATTTTTTTTCTTTAAAGCTTATTTTGAAATGTATCATTTTAACAAAATTTACCTTCGTCAGGGCTCTTAAAATGGTAACGAATTGTATTCAGTTTTGAGTAAGAACCATTAAAAAAGTATTTTTCTATATCTAAATATAATGAAAGTGATTTTAACAAATACTTACTTCTTTCTTTTCACGAAAACGTTTGCATCGTAAAGACTCTGTTTGCGAAGATTCTTTTTAAAAGTCCATACTTTTAAGCGAACTCTAGCACCTCTTCTAGATTGCGTAGTTCCGATAAACTGGGTAACTTGATGTTGATTTTGCACATCACACGTAAAACTGTCTTGTGGGAACGTGCAGTAACTAGAATTGTAAACAATAAAAATGTAATAATTACTGTTATAGCCCACAACTTATTATTCAATTTCATAGTTACAGAGCCGAATTAATAAAAACAATGGTTCTGTCATAAAGAAACATACCTATTAGCTTTATTACCGCGGTCAACCACTTCGGCGTTTCGTTTTTGCTATTACAAAAAAAATGTGGCCACCGGACGAAGTGTTATCGTTAAGGAAATCTCCTTTTTTTCTTTTGGCCTTAAAAACATGAATGGTACGTACGATTTATGATATCACAATTCTTTTTATAACCCACCCGGTATTTTTTGTTTTTTTTTTCGGCCTGCGTTATCTTCACAATTTTGTGTCTCAATCTATTAATAACGTCTTCTTTCAAGACGCGACGTTTTGTGTCGATGTTTATCGATAGTTGACGTGTCAGATGGTAGGTACATCACTAGATCCGTTTTGTGATTGGTCAGATTTATGGGTTCAGATCGTTATTGTTTTAAAATGTTTATGATATTTTTTGTTTTCTTAAGTTATTTGCAGAAGTGAAAATGTTTATTTTATTTGAAGTTAGTTTTTTTTGTTAGTATTGTTTTCTAGACGGGTCGTTTTGGTAGCAATTACTAACATTACTCGGGGTTTAAAAATTGCGTGTGTTATTATGGTCCTGGTCTGGTAGTGAGTGGTTGAGAACCCGTCATTATAATGCACAATTGTTAACCCGACACGTTGCTGTTCATGTTTAACCTTAACACGCCATCTGAGCTTTGAGAGATGCCGCCGTGCAACTATTGAATAACTGGTGTTTACTCTAGAAAAATTAATTACCTTCCTCATTACATTTAAAAAATATATATTTATTTGAAGATGTTTTCCTGACCTATTATTATTTTTACCCTTCTCAAGAGATGCTTACATTTTAATTATCTCGCTTTTAAGTAAAAAATGCGTAAAACGTGTAGAATTTAGTTTTTAAATTATAATACCGTTTCCCTAACATCTGAAGACTTAAAAAAATTGCATGTCTCACTTTCTGTTTGCGGAGACCGTATCATCAACTTGGAGCACGAACGCCTCAGGCTGCGTTGGACCAACCAGCATACTTTGACCTTCCTCACTCCCCTTGTTAAGACATATTTATGGTGAAGAAGGGTGTTGACATAGTTTTAGAGAGGTCTTCTTTGTTTGGTGGGAGTTATCAGTGGTTGTGGAGTAAATCATGTCGAACAAACACAGGACGGGCGTCAACGCTGCGCATCGCACGATCAGTGTGAATTGTGTGTTTTTATGTTCGCGCTTCTTACGCGTTGTAGGGTAAGCAGGAATTTAAATGTAGCCTGCATTTTTTATTAGTAAATAATATTGGTTCATAGATCGAGAAAACATTATTAAGAATAGTTCTACATTATCTTTAAAAGTAAATGCCCGTAAAAATAACGTTACAATATTTGGCTCCGACTATAACAGTTTGCATTTTAAGAAATCGAAAACTGCACCGGTGCGTTCGAATACGCGGTTCGTTTTACGTATCGGTCGCGGCCATTATGTCGCGGCTACGGGCCCCCGCATAATTACTTACACGCTAATTGTTCCGACTTTGGAACGCACACTTGCGGTTAAAAATAAATAAATTGTCAATTTTGAATTTCGAGGTATTAAAGTCAGAATGTCATTCGATATTTGAATGTAAATGACGGTTGGAAGTACGTGTTTTCGTACTGGCCATGCAGATAAACGTCGCATGGTCGTTCAATGAAATATTATTTTTCGGTAATTATAGTAAGTTAACTTTTTAATGATTACTCTTTACACTCTTTTTAGAAATCGATCGTATAACCCCATTTTTTACTTGCTTCCAGTTGGGTAAGAATTAGTAGTCATTTTGAACAGGAGATGATACATTGGTATGTCGATGAAAAAGTGCAAAAAATAAATAAGAAATAGATAAAATTCGGAATGATAAACTTAATAATGATAAAAAACTGCAGAAGTAGCGAATCATAACTATGCTGCCGGATAATCAATACAAATTAGCACACAACTATTACAAACCAATTAAGTAGGTATTATTAAAGTCACGATTAAAAACTCATTTCACTAGGAATCACAGTACTAAATGTCTTTGAGAAAAGTACTAAGATTCCTAGAAAAATGTATAAACTTATACGACTGAATATTGCATACCAGGACGCAGGTAAACCTGATTACAGGTGTAATACAGTCTTTGATTTCAAAATACTTAGAAAATGTAGGATGAAAAGAATAACTTATTCAAAGCATAATAAAAGATTAATAAATGTTATTTTTTTAATATTATAGCAATATTGCTTTGATATAAAAACTTCACCAGTAATTACTTCTGTAAGCTGTTATTAAAAAATGATGATATTAAATCAAAGAGAGCAGTTTTTAATTAATTATCTATTCATTATTAACCTCTTTCTTCAACCATAAAATTACTAGGATTCTTTGTATCTTCATTTTCTATTGCGAGATAAAAAATAAATATGCAATGTTATAACATAATTTACAAAAGCCTTTGAACATGCCCTTAATTTAATACTGTTAATGGACTACACACCAATACAAGATTCTCACCCTCTTAACATTTGGCTTGCAAAATTATAGCAGCTCTGAATGAAAATAGGTACAATTCTACACAAAAATTTACTCTTTCCTTATCGACAATTGGAATCTGAAATTTTCATATTAAACTTTTTTGCAATAGTTAATGTTTTCCTATTTCAAAATGAAATTAAACCTCTGTAGGTTGTAAATTCTTTGTAGGACTTCCACAGCCGTCGTTCACTTCAAAAGTGATTACACAAAGGTTATTTGGAGCGTTCACAGGAATTCTTGACTAATTGTCACTTGTCAGTTCGGTATCAAAGTTGACGAAAAACAAAATGTTTCGATATACGATGGAGAAACACGCTCGCAAAATACCGTAACTCGCTCGGATAAGATTATGTACAAACTGACAACCGAGTTGTTAGTTTACAAATTAAATTATTCAGTATCAATCACAACGGTTACCACTATCGCTCGTCGCAATTCTGCAACAATTATACTTAATGTATTGCCAAATCCGTGATTGTTGGGCTAATACTGGTTTCCAGCCATTGCCGCGCTGTCCGATACCCTTAACCGCAAATCTCAAAGCGTTTCTGTAAACATCGCAGTAAGTTTCGGTTTATTTATTAGCAGCATTTATCGGTCGTTAAAACGAAGTCCCGGCACCGTGCCGACTCCGTCACGGGGACGTCACGGTTCGTATTGTAACGGAAAACAATGCGGCGTGCGTGTTACGATCGATTTATGACTGTAGGCCTGCCATGCGTGCGGATTTTGAGCGGACCCGTTTTGACGCCGGACTTGAAAGACCGCGCAAATTGAAGTTCTAGATTTGTATATGCGTTTGTTTTTTTAACATTTTCAATTTCAATGAAAATAGGATTTTTCATGCAGGTGTTAAAATATTGAGAGAGGGTAGAAGCTTTCAATCATAGAACGAAATAAAAACAAAATTTCGCTTAGGTCACGCTCCTATGGCGAAGCTTAAAGGTTGTTTGAGCAGCTCAAAGGTTTTTAGTCCGACGACTTTTGTATTATTTTTAGAAAATTAAGGGCGTCCGCGTTTTATGAAATAACATGGTGGACTAGTACGACGCTAATGATTGACGATTCTTTGATTTTTACGTCCTTTGTTTGAGTTTCGCCGCGTTTGGTTGCAGTTGGAATATTTTCGACATTTTGTTCTGTTTTCTCGTCCTTTAGGCCCCTTGTGTCAAGTTGTTTAGTGTAACAGTGCCATTCACTTGTGTTTCTTGTTGGATTTCAGATTTATAAAACTGTCCAAGTAGATTTGATGTAGATTGTTATAAAGTAAAGGTTGAGTTCGTGAAACAATGGTTGATTATTAATGTCTCCGTAAATTTTGTACCGAGTGTCGAATCGTATTTAGTATCTATCGAGTTTTGAATACCTTCCACGGATGTTCTTTTTAGATTATCTAAAAAAAAGGTTGTATTAGTGAAAAAGCGTTATCAGGTAGGATATGACCAGTTAAAGAGTGCGTACATTGATTCTGAGCCAATTCTAGTCGAATACGCTTACGAAAACACAAACATTGCGTAAATGATTGAAACACAAAAATGTATTGTATGTACATAATATACGTTTTCCATACAAAATTATCTTTATAGCCGTTCACGACCGTAATACAGACAATAACAATTAACATAATTAAATATAAACATGTAAATATTGGCATTATCGTGCACTGAGCAGATATAAAAACAAATTACGATATTTTCGTATTTATATTGATAGTTGCCGATCGAGTTTTTCTGCTACACTAACATAACTGCAATGTAGATGCAACTTTTGTATTGCGAATGATGCGATGCGAACGACTTTAATGATGTTAATAATTTGTTTCTTTTTAAATGTGTTGACAGCTAAAGCTAATTATTTGTGTGCTAACATTGTCTATGTCCACAGAGAAATTTAAACAACGAACCCTTGTTCCTTGTTTAACTATCCCTGTTGGCAAGTTTTTGAATTTCAAATGATTCCTTTCCAATATGATTTGGAGGAGAAAATCTATTTACAGTTTACTTAGGTAAATAGATTGAATATGAACCTTATATAAAGTGACGTAGTGCACAAATTTGGTATTTAGCAGTGTAACTGTTGGTTAATCAGATCTCAATCCGGAGTACCTGGAACTTGGGTTCCGGGGCGGTGCTGGACTGGGCTCATCTTCGCGCACCAAGCGGATGCGTACCAGCTTTAAACATCACCAGCTAAGAACAATGAAGTCATATTTCGCGATCAACCACAATCCAGACGCTAAAGATCTGAAGCAACTGAGTCAGAAGACAGGCCTACCCAAACGAGTTTTGCAGGTAATACATGTTTCTAATTAACACTTTTGCTCATTCTTTCAACTCTATGCAGTACTGACGCCAGTATCAATACTCCATGGGTATATCGTGACATATCATCGATAGATTTTCGGCTTTAATTTAAAATCTTAAAGTTGAAATTCTAATAAAATTTATAATCTTAAAGATTAGTAGGTTGTGGTATCATACAATATGTAATATTAGCCATGATTGATCAGTACTACCACAGTATACTATGGTACTACCAGGTCGAAAAGTCAACGAGTCGATCTGTATGTTGTTGAAGGAAATTTTAAAATGTATTTATTTTCTTATAATTTAAATGTATGGCTCAGACGATTGTTTTAAATTTATTTACCGGTAATTTTTATTTTTTCCAATAGGCCATGTCGATACCTATTTTTCAAAAACTTGCTTAAAGGATTGTAATCAAAGATTTTATTTTATGGTTTTTGATACACTTGTGTTACCTCCAAAAAAGAAAAATAAGTCACTAATACATACGTTACATAATCAAAATACCAACTTGAACAAACAACACTTTTCAAAATTATTCAACAGGTAAAGCGTAATCAATAGTATCGGTAATATAGTATCGATTTTATATTCGGTACTTTACAAATCGAGAGGTGTTATTTCACGCGTAGGTAGCCGCCTCATTAGCATACTGATCAAGACGTTAGAATATGCTTGAGTATGATTACAACCAATATTCGAGATAAGACACCTGCCTCGGAATGTTCACTTCTACATTTACAAACGTTCCGATGTCGGATGTAACTTTCTTTAAAAATCTATGCAAACAAACTCGACCCGTTAAGCCCCATAATTAATTTCCTAATTATTTCTCGTAAGCCACTAAAAATGCACAACACTAGTCCATTTCAAAATATATGGAACGAGAACATGAAACGTGGTTCGATGTCTCAAATAAATCTGTGTTATTTATTAGATGAACAAACAAAATTATATTATTCAAATAAGGTGAAGACATTAGAAAAGGTTTCTGAATTTTATTATTATCAATCAAAGTACATAAGCAGTGTAAAGTTGCCATTAGTCTCAAATGTTAAACTTTAATCGTTCGTTTATTAAAATGAAGTTCTAAAACTTCACTAAAATCCGACGGACGATTCCTATAGGCGTGAATAACATTACAATTTTGGGATTAATCAACATATTTTAATGAAATTAAACATTATAGCTCTGTTTGGGTGAGCGTAATGAAAATCGTTAGTTTTAATGCATTTTTTAAACCAAAACGGCTTCGAAAAATATTTAAACGCTCGTTTAAACCTCGTTAAATCCATTGACGGTAAGAAAAATGTAATTTTCAAAAGTTTAATTGACACACAAAGATGATTTTATCTTGTTAGGACGTTCACGTCGCGCACATATGTATGCAGAGGTGCTAGTATGTGAGTTACAATACAGCAGTGACTCAAACCAGAACTCAAGTGTGTCAAACGCATAAAATAAGTCTTAAACAAACCGGTAGTTGAAAGCTAATGCGAATTTAATGTAGTCCCGATACCGCGTCGCTTTGCTCAGTATCGACTTATCAACATTTTGCATTGCGAGTGTTTTATAAGTTGAATTTTATTTATTCGTTTTCATCATCCGTTTTTTTATCATCACTCGTTTTGACGGCTGACGACTGGTATTACTGAGTTGTTTTAATTTATAAACTGATAAACTTATACCAACGCTCGAAAATTTGAAACACGTCTTCACAATTTCTAATTTTGTATTTCTTACAGTTGTAGCCAAGGTAAGTATCTAAACTTTATCATGTGTGACTAATTTGATACTATTTATATTCCCTCTTCGGCAGGACAGATGATAAGGTAAGCGTATCATAAAATGTCTTCGAACTGACGCCCGTGATTTACCTCATGACAAGGATGTCAACATGATTGGTTTCACAGAAATTGCGTGTTGCAAGCTCAAAATTACACATCTCGCAATGGTAATTGTGGCGTTATTATTGACCGCTATAATCAATGTTGCCAGGTAAGTCAGGAATTTTGTGAAACCGAACTTCAACCTAATGAACAAAAGTGAAAGGAGATATGTCGATTGAATGATCAAAAGCGAATTTCGCGGTTCACGCTCGACTCGAAAAATGTTGATAATTGTTAAAAAATAAATTGCGCTTTTGTTATTGGACCGTGAGGGGATACTTTCATATATCATTCAACCGACTTTCCAAATGTAAACAGCCTGTATTAATGTTGCACTTAATTTTCTTTAATATTATATCAACGTTTCGTTCTATAAAAAAAGAAGCCTGTAGGTACATTCGGAGTGGAGTAGCGATTCCGATAAAGACGGCAAACATTGAGTGCATGAATGAGATAGTATGAAATAAATACAAGTAGAAAATATTTATTTAAATCGTGGAACAGGAGACAAAGTTGTGCGAGGTAGCTATGTTACATGGACGTGTGGAATTGTAGGAATCAATGTTTTACGTGTTGTTTACCGTACACAAGAACGAGTGGCGAGCCGCCTTTGAACTGATATTATAAGTAGTAGAGTACACGTCGGCTCGTCTTCGCATTTAACACTGTATATTGCATTTAATTTGTTTGCTATAAGCGGCACTTTAATGTAGGGCTCGACAAAGCGCTACCCTTTGTTCCCGTAATTACTCAGGTAACTCGAAAAAATTCTTAAGCAACACGTGCGTTCGTGACGTCATACCCTAACAGTAGGTGTAGAGGCTGTGTAGTTTTTGTGTTATTAAATAGACTGGTCTTGAAGGAGTGGTGCTTCTTTAAAATTCCCAATGTATTTTTTGCTCCATAAATAAGCAAATATAGATCTTTTATTCTGACTAGATTGAATTCTGACGATAGCAGCGTGTAATTTAATACACAATAACTGCCAATAAAGATATGATATTTTAAAGAGTTCGAGACTGATCGCCAATATATTATCGATTCGTTTGTCAATATTTATTCTTCACTATCCCCATACAAAAGTACATACATACATAACTTCACGCCTGTCACCTATGGGTTAAGCAGAAACTACATACTACATCCCCATACGCAATGGTTAAATAATTTTCGATCGGATGGAAAATTATTGCATATGCAGAACTGAGATGAAAATTTTGCTTTCCCAGCTTTTTCCATATACAGATGCTTTCCATACTTATGTAACAGTGGAACTTGACAAACGATTTTCACTCTTATTGAGATGTTCATAAAAATATTTTTCTGCAGGAGACATCTCTTTTTGCGAACGAAATTTGCTTTGGTGTCAATGTGTCTACAGTTATATCAGTTATGGCACTCAAAAAGGCAGTGAGTATGTGATTGATACACAAAGGAACTTGACTTTTGATTGGCTGTTTGTTGACAGTCCACATAGGAACGGACTGTCGGGTGCCATTTGTTATTACCAGTAACGAATTTTGTAAAACAAAGGTTTTATATCCCAAAATACATTTATATGCAAGAAAAAAGTTAAAACGTTTCTACTTGGCTTAAGTTATGACGAGACAGAAGCACTGATAAAACCCTCCGTATGATTTCAATATTAAAATCATCATACAAAACATACACTGGTGTAGACACCATCACACATATACACAAACACAATCACACTCTTCCTATCAAAATCACACACACACTACACTACACATACTCCGCACACACACGTGCTCACACGTACATAAATTATTGTTTAATGTTACACGTTTGGTTTACTGAATAATTGTAAAAGTAACTACGCACGAATGGATGTCTCCTATAATACAGGATTTTCCTAGTATAGGGGACATTAATCATCAAATTAAATGTAAAAGGAACTCGTACACTTGATGTAACAAATCATGTATTTTCTCTTTTTTCTTGAGCAATAAATTTATTATTATTATTATTTCCGTTTATGCTCTGCATTTCTCCCATCGAGTGGGGTTAAAATAGGCACGGGCCGAAGCCAAGTGCTAAAAAGAATTACTATACTTAGGTATTTAAAAACTTGCGGGTAAGACGGCATGTATTTAGAATAACGGCTTTTTGTAAGAGGAGATAAGTTGATGGGCTAATATTTAATGAATTCAGGCTATTGTGAAGAGTTTTTGGAATGACTCCTGTGCTGGATAATACTATGGGGATGGTTTTAGTCTGGGTAACGTTCCACTGTGTTTTAATTTCAATAGATAAATCGGTGTATTTTGCAATTTTTTCTGTATGTGTGCTAACAAGGTTGTGTGTATTGCATATAGCTATATCTATTATATATACTACTCTATTCTGTTTATCTAACAATGTAATGTCTGGCCTGTTATTATATATTGTCTTATCTGTTATAATAGTTCTGTCCCAATATAATTTGAAATTCTCATTTTCGAGCACTGTATTTGGTTTGTATTTATAGTATGGGACTCTATCTGTAATAAGTTTTGTTTTGATGGCAAGGGATTGGTGGATTATCGCGGCTACTTGGTCGTGACGGTGCTTGTAGTCAGTTTGGGCTATTGCTCTGCAGGCGCCAGTGATGTGCTGGATTGTCTCCGGAGCACCATGGCATCGCCTGCAACTGTCATTGTAGTTCGGTCTGCGGATTATGTATTTTTGGTAATTAGCGGTGTCAATGACTTGATCCTGTATGGCAATCATAAATCCCTCCGTTTCAGGGAAGAGTTCGCCTCGCCTCAGCCACGCGTTCGATGCTATGATATCGACATGAGGTTGCTGTAGGTCGAGGCGATGTCTTCCATGGAGGGATTTACGTTCCCAAGCTACAATTTTGTCTGACTTGGTGGTTATACGCTCATTACGTTGTGGGTCAGAAGAGTGCAAATTCAATGGGGTGTAATTTTTATCCAAATATGAAATGATTTTGTGAAGGGGGGATTGTTGAGCTTTATGGAAGAAATATTTTCTCAAGTTTGTAATCTGCTGGTTGTGAAGGTTTTCAATGTCAATAAGACCCCGTCCTCCATCATCTCTCGGTAACGTGAGTCTTTGCACACAGGATCGTGGGTGGTGCTTTCTGTTTATGGTCAAAGATGTATTGATGGACCGCTGTAATTTCGTTAGATCGGTTTTTGACCAGTTTATAATTCCAAAAGAGTATGTGAGTATAGGGATGGCAAATGAGTTTATAGATTTGAATAGGTTACGGGATGTTAATTGTGATCTTACAAGCATATTAAGTCGGTGTTTATACTTAGTGGTTATCTTACTTTTGGTGCACTTTTTGTCTATTTGATATGTTTGTTCAAATCCTAAATATTTGTAGCTGCAATTTTGTGTCATTGATTCTACTATTGCACCAGATTCCAGAGTGTAGGGATTGCTTTCGATGTGTTGTCCTTTTAAGAGGGTAAATGTTTTGCACTTATCAATGCCAAAAGTCATGTTTATGTCGTCTGAAAAGGTTTGAGTAAGGTCTGCAAGTGAGGAAAGTCCTGATATACTATTACTGTAGAGTTTTATGTCATCCATGAACAACTGTAGAGTTTTATGTCATCCATGAACATTATATTATTGTATGTCTTTACCATTCACGGGACCACAGGGTCCCGGTCATTTGGGAGGCATGCGAGGGGCCGAAGCCAACTGCGCAGAGGCCCTTTAGACAACTTTAATATAAATGTAATGGACACACAAACCGGCGACTATCCCTGTATGCACTATGGAAATGCACCCAAGGACAGTCCCCGGTTAGTGTAAAACTAACTTATTATTATTATTATTATTATTATATACCTATACCTACCAAAATTAGCTATTTCCTATTATCTGTACCGAGTTTTGTGCCAAACTCAGTAAATCCATTGTGTTATGAATATCTAATTGGTTAGAATTTTCAAAACTTTTTGTGCTCGACAATTCTATGTTCTATTTTTAGACTCATAAAGCTTGCTTCTACCATGACATTTGATACATTCAATGTACGGAGTAGACAGTTTAGTATCTATTTTGGTGACAGATCTGTTCCAATGTGATCTATCACACAATCAAATCCTATATTCCTGGAAGCAAGGACATCTAATTATCCTTTTGAAACAGATACTGATAAGCTTTGACGTTTATCTTCTACGGCTATGTTAGCATTTAACCCCTTAAGAGCTATTGTGAAAGGAGTAATGGTTTATCAATTAGCACATCCTCCTGCTTAAAGTAAACCGCAAGCCCCAGGGCCGCGCCGCCCCTGTGTGCGAAGTGTGCGGCGCACACAGGCGCCAAGACAATAGGGGCGCCGTGTCGCGCCACCACCTCTACTTGAATTATTTTTGTTACCTTAATTATTATATTTTTGGTAGTAGAGTATCGATAAGTAAGTAGGTACAATAGGCGCAACATAGGCCTTGTATACAACAAAACTTATATTACGCTTATTAAACAAGTCTCTCAATATTTATGTTTATTATTAATCACGTTTATGGTTTCATTTTACACTTAGGGTTTTAGTTTACATTACTTACGAGTTACAAGATCAACGTTAAAACGGCGGCAAATCTTTTGAACCACAGATAAAGTAGGTACCTACTAGTTATATTGAATCATAAAGGCGCCGACTTTGTATGAGTAAGTATGAGTGAGTTTGTGAACGCAACCCGATGCGATGTGTGCGAGGCTATAGGAGTAGGGTCACAGGGATTCCCCGATTTTAACGAACGAGAGAGTCAAGCTAAAACAAAACAATTGAACAATCATTTGATTGAAAGTGTGTGTAAGGTGTGCATTGAACTTTTTACTGACTTTAAAAAAAGGAGGAGGTACGTATGTTCGGCTGATTGTTTTTTTTTTTCAGTACTCCGCCATATGTGAACCGATTTCGAAAATTCTTGTTTTGTTTGAAAGGGTATACTCCCGAGATGGTCCCATTTCCATGAGGTCAGGATCTGATGATGGGACCCAAGGGAAACCAAGGGGAACTTTTGAAAATTCTATGGGCTTGTACTGCGTCTTTTTTGTTTTTCAATTACGATTTTTAAACACTACAATTTGATAAGGGTCTGGATTTGACCTGATGATGGAGCCGACAGACAGTCGAGGGAACTCCTCAGCGGTTTATATTAACTACCTTGTGTTTGTACTAAATTAATCAAGCCCAAGCATAGGGTAGTTAATAAAAACAGCTGAGGAGTTCTCTCGATTGTCTGTCGGCTCCATCATCAGGTCGACTCCAGACCGTTATCAAATTGTAGTGTTTAAAAATCGTAATTGAAAAACATAATAGACTCATTACTCGCCCCTAAAATTTACGAAAGTTCTCCTCGGTTCCTCTCGGTTTCCCTAGGATCCCATCATCAGATTCTGAGCTCATGGAAATGGGACCATTTCGAGAGTATACCCTTTTAAACAAAATAAGATTTTTGGAAATCGGTGTACAAATGGCGGAGAAATGTGCGAACAAACAAAAAAAATCAAGCAGCCGAACATAGCACCTCCTGCTTTTTTGAAGTCGGTAAAAAAGAGGCGCTCCATCGATTCCGCACACAGGCGCTGCCGGGGGTCGGCGCGGCCCTGGCAAGCCCTCACTAACGCATTCAACTTCGAACAAAGTGAAACCCATGAAAATTACTGGGTCCTTATTTGGATCTTCATAAAAACAGTAAGCGCTCCCAAATCTTTTGTTAGTCTCAGACTGTATATAGCAACCTGTCTTTATCGTAGCCGACCCGATTTCGATATCAGCAGCATAAATATATCCAGTCAACCAATTATGCGAAAGCCCCCCCCTCCCCTCGAATATTGATCGAGATTTTTTTCCAGCAAAAAGCTTTCGAGTCGTCGTCGCCATACTGTGAAGATAATATCTTATTCGTTTTTGCGCCTCGTCGCACTTTTGGCTGTACGCTCCTGCGGATAAGTGTTTTGTTTTACCTTTTCCCAACTTCATATCGTCGCTTTAAAATCTATTTTGTTTTTTTTTTGTTTATTATTTAATAGTTCTTAACTCTGAGATTGCAGATTTTGTTTGGTTTCTGCCCATAAACAAAAATTGAACACCCACCAAAGAATGTAGGAAGAAAATTCGTAATTAAAAGTTAAACTTTTAATTAACCGTTTAAATTACTAGACTAGGTCATTTTTGTTTTATTGCACTGCTATATCGAGAGGCTTATTCACTCACTTGTTCAATTGACGTACCCCAAAGGTCTTTACAACTCAATTCAATCACAAGAAACGGCATCAAAGAATTATAGGCTCCAATAAACTCATAAAACCGCTGTCGATGGCGCAATACCGCAGCATAAAAAGCTAAGCATTTTCAGCTATCCCTAAATAAAACACGACACGAGGGGCTGAAACCAAAAGATTTATGTCTCTCACCTCTCAAGTTA